CTATACCGGTGAGACTCTTGCAAGCTCGACTCTCTGACTTGAAAGCTCACCTGTACTTTGGTTTCACAAGAAAATAGAATCAAATGTTTACTCTGTCAAACTCCACTCCTGTTCGACGTTCAGATGTGTTGCACCGTGGAACAACAGCCTGAGCTATTCAACAACACATCCCGAACCTGTAGTTTCCATCGCATCATCATAGTTTCGGCAGTCAACACATTCGGAACAGCAGAGACAGCTTGGGTGAATCGAGACTTTCGCGGTTCTATTCCTTGAAACACTTGGCTCAATTTCAGCTCCCAGGCTCTGGAAGTCCTTCAATTGCAAGAAATGTCGGCTTCCTAAACAAGCCTTATTCTCGATATCTCTGTTGCCGAAAAGAAGTTCGTTTGGTCACAAGAGGCATTTCCATAAATTATTGACCATTAATCATTTCTCGCTAATCGGAATCCCGTCGAAGCGAGTCGACTTCTATGTCAACAGCGCATACAATAGTGTGTCAAGGCCATGTGGATACCAGTCAAAGCTTCATTATTTATACACTCAGAACACCGAACTGCTCAAATACCACCCTTTTCTCTTCCCTGTGACCCCACTGTTTCCTTGCTATACCCAATGCCCATGAAATGGAGACGTTCCGAGACGGATCCTACCCAAGCACAACCCGATGAACTTCTCGGGTCCTACATTGCGGTTGGGACACTGGCAGTGAGCACCATTACTCCTTTGCGCGTTCCAAGCTTGACACAAGGAACAGATTTTCCTCTGGGATGTACTCACTAACCTTAGTAGCGAGTATCATCTCCTGTTCAACAAACGCAAGATCGGGTTCCCGACAATCGTCTATCTATGGGCTCGGTGAGCATTCGTGAACCTCAAACGATCTGTCTAACTACTAACACGTTCCTCAGAGTCACTACCCTCGTAGGCTTGACACTAACAGCCCTAGTATTTGGTAAGTGTGCCTCCTGGCAACATTTCACCATACAGGAACCGTCTGGGCTGACTTCTTCTGACCTAATAGCCGCACCTATCGGGAAATGCTGCTCCATCTTCACCCAGATAATCCTTGCTGGATTTCCTTCATTCATTGCGTCAGAGTCGCTATTAGTCTTCTTCAGACTACGTGCAGTCTACATGGACAGGAAAGGCGTTATTCGAGCATTCCTTGTCTCGTTAATCATCGTGGTCGGGTGCTCTTGTTCGCTTCCATTTGTTGGAGAAGCACATCGAATCGGATCTACGAACGCGTACTGTACCGCAACCTTAAACACAAAACTTGCGGAAGCGATGTTGATCATACCTCTGATCAACCATATCGCGGTCTTTCTTGCTATTTCTTATCAGTTAATGCCAAAGTCGGAGATCTCGGACTCCGTAAAGAGTTCTGAGAGTATTATAAAAGCCATTAGTGGCAACCGCCTTCATGGGCTTTCCAGAACGTTGGTTATTGACGGACAAAAGTATATTCTGTGAGTGTCTATCACCTCAGGTGGTCTACTCCCTTGTATTGACTTTCCGTCCCCGCTTCCCACAGGGTCTTCCTCATCACAACCACACTGGCAGCAGTGATAATAGCTATCGGAGACTTACCCGATACCTACCGATTCGTTCTGGTTGGCCTACACATTGCCATTGAGAACAGCATGAACAGTTATCTGTTTCGGAGTGTCCGCGCGAAGGCCTCATCAACCGATGTTCTGGGCTCGACGATGAACTTTCGGCACACAGAGAGCGACGATTTGGAATCGTCTGCCGCTTCTGAAGTCCCACAGTCTGTATAGCTCCACGAAACACTTGATGGGAGCAAGGGTGGAACTAGACGATAAACTTCTTTTCCCGCTTATCCGTGATCGGTGGATGATACTAATATCTTATTATCTGTACTGTATATAACTTCGTATCGATGGTATCCATTGGGCAACACTGCCTTCCAAGCCTCGTAGATGCTAGCGTCCTTCACGTTGGTATTGTGCATCGTGATGGATCGAACAAGAACATCTGAACAGATCACCACGATGACAACCAGGCACTCCGGCAAGTCAATGGCAAGGATAGCTTGAATCAAACCAAGGAAAAATCGGTCGTACAGAGATATCCTCACTACTAGTCAGAGTCCCACTGTTCTCGTCATCACTATTTGTGTGCGGTCCAAGTCATAGACAAGAGATAGAAGCGATTATGTCTTTGTACTCAGGACTACACTGCAGAAGAGGATTGTGGTACCATGCTCAGGCTATCTGCTTGTCGGAAATTAATGGTCGAATCCGTGATCACGGTTGTATCCTTGGCTCGAACGCTTCGAAACAGATAACAGTTCATGCTATTCTCGACGGCTGCATGGAATGCTACGAGAACACACCGATAGGTGTCGGGTAGATGCCCGATCGCCATCATTGCAGTTGCTGCAGCAGTGGTGAGAAGAAAGACCCTGCGAGGATCACGGGAGTCAGCATAATGCAATGCAGACGAAGATGAAGACACGTACAAAATGTAGTTCTGCCCGTCGATGACGAGTGTCCTGGATATCCCGCGAAGACGCTTTCCACGAAAAAATTTTCTGAGCCGAGAGGCATATGACGAGGTCCGTTCACGGTTCGTCTCCAGCGTGATCTCCGACCTCTCTATCAGCTGATATGCAATGGCAAAAAAGACTGCAATATGATTCGCCAGAGGAACGATCAGCATTGCTTCTGCAAGCCTCAAGTTGAGCGTTGCGGTGCAATACGCATTCGTTGGTCCGATAGGGTGTGCTTCGGCCACGAAGGGTATTGCGCAAGAGCAGCCTGTGACGATGACTAGTGAGACCGCGAACCCGTAGACGACTTTCTTCCGGTCCATGTAGACTGCGCGTAGTCTGAAGAACAGCAGGAGGCTTTCTGAGAAGATGAAAGGTGGGAAGCCGGAGATACTGATTCACATGAAAATAGAGCAGCATCTGCCGATAGGGGCGGCTAGGAAAGGATTAGCTGAAGCTAAAGTGGTTGTAAACATGGCCTGTACGTACCAAAAACGAGTGTTATTAGCGTGATTCCTATGACAGCGTTCGCTCTGAAGGACGCATCAGAAGAGCGACGATCGTTTAATCGCTGATACTGACCGAGCCCATAGATAAACGAGTGTTGGAATGCCAATCTTCCGTTTAAATAACAGGTGGTACTCGGCACTAAGGTTGGTGAGTACGTCCCAAAGGAACATCTAATCGTCGTAAACGTGGGTTATTAGATACGTGAAGCAGAAAGAGCATGAAAAACACGTACCCCTAGCGTCGCGACTCCGAGATAAGCTCCGAGCAGCTTGTCAGGTTGAGCGTGGGCACCGTCCATCTCAGCACGTATGGCAACCATTTGGAGTACAGAGATGGCGCTGGCCACAGCGAGTAGACCAGAATGACCTTTAGAAGCTCAATGGTTCGAACTTATGTATCGAGCTTTGGCTGGTGACCACGTGGAATCAAGGCACTTCACAGGGTGCATGGAAGTCGAGTTCGGGATAAGAGGAATGATCATAATAGTGATTGACGATCCAGTTCCATCTCATTTGCGCCTAATAAACGACCTCATTGACCGGTATAGGTCACGGGGTATGAACCCCGGTGATCAATGTCAAAGTTTGTCTGTCATAATGCAGTATATAAGTTTCCTCAAAAATCCAAAGCTCAAAGCGAGACTTACCAAAGCATTGAACACCCTTGACGGTTGTTTGCCTTGCATTGGCACCGGAGATATTATGTCGCGGAGGAAGTGTCTGAGATTTGCTGAAATACTGGTGACCGGAAGTATGCAGCATCTCACGATACGAGGATCAATCAGTGCTTGAATCTTTCTCCGTGAGGCAGCATTTGCCATCTATATTATCATATCAGAGATGAGAAGGTGTCTTCATTTGAGCCAGAACTTCTCACTTACGGTTCATCAGAAGGAGAACAGAGCAACACAGTGCATCGAATTTAGCTCGACTGACCGACACTGGGGTATGATTTCGTATTGATACGGAAAGATGGTTGAGTCTGCTGATCTCTGAGGTAGGGTATATGAGCTCAAAATCGTTGGCATTCAAATGTAGATGCTTCACCTTTGGAGAGGTAGAGTCTAGAATGTCTCAAAGTCGTTGTGTTTAGGTTTAGGTGAATGTCTACCTGGTGAGGCCCTTCACCGAAGCGCTCGTTCAAGGTACTCAGTGCCCGACCTCCGCCTATTATCGAGGAACCGAAGGTAAGGAAGCTTTGAATCTTGATTCATGACCACATGAAGCTGGCGCCGCGGCGCAACAGAGGATATGGAAGTCGAGCGCTGAACGGAAAATGATACATGGTGACGTGCAGATTCTGGATAGCTTGATGATGCCCGTGTGTATGAGCCTATAGAGAACTTAGAGAACTTAGAGAACTTAAAGTAAGTATGGGGAATAGGAAGACGTACCAATCAGAACTTCAAGGGTTTCAAGAAAAGACCTGCTTTCCATGATAGCAAAACAGCCGGTATGTTGTTGGATACCGCATGATGGCCAGCATTCAGCACTTCAAGCTTCAAGATTAACTATGTTGCATTCGTATCTATCTCCGTGCAGTACTGTCCTGTTGAAAATCGTGAAAAGGAATCAGAGAGCGCTTTGATCGAACAAAATTGCAAATACTCACAGAGTCATTCGGAGTCAATGTCCAGACATTGCCTGGGCTTGAAGCGTCGGTGCTGGCAAGAATCTATACTGGGCTCTGGATCATGAATCACGAGCATACAACTTGCCCTGCCCGAAGTGTTGAAACATGGAGGAAGAAGGAAAGGAAGTGTGAGAAATTCAAAAACGTCGATCTCATCCACCGCTCTCGAGATCTCCGCCGTTGGGTGCTTTCGCGGCCCACATTTTCAAATGAAGAACACTGAAGAAACTTTGACAAGCAAGCAGTATTTCTTTTTTACTTTCTACAGCTAATGTACATATTGCATTTAGAGAGCAAACTGGGAATGGTTATCTCTGATTTTTTACACACTAGCGATAACACACCGTTGGTGAAGTGGTTATCATGCTTGCCTTCCATTGACTGATAGCAAGCGGCTCGGGTTCGATTCCCGAACGGTGTATTTTACAACTTCGATGACTTTTTTCCCCAGAGCATGTTAGCGATACCTATTCACATGAGAAGAAAAGAACATAGATAACACCATGTACCGAATTTTCCGTATGGAGACAAGCCAGGTGCAAGCGAATTCAACTGGACGATTGGCGGAGAATAAAATTGCCAGATAAGGAAATGGGGTCCGAATTGGTGCGTTGTCAAGGCAGCCGTTTCTGTAGGGCCATGTTTATTCCAGACAATATTGCCAAAACAGGCATTTCGCGAAAAATTGCAAGGGTGAATTGCCAGTCGCGCAAAAGTGTTTATAAACGCCTTGACATCAACCATCATGTTCCCCACAGAACGCCTTCTCCGCTCACGTTTCAAGAATTATTACGCCTCTCACAATGTCTACCACCATTCTCAGCAACTCTTCTGCCCAGGAGGCTCTTACTCTTCCTCAAGCTGCAGTTACCCAGCCAGAACGCAGCGTATCTACACCTTCGAACTCCAGCCTCGGATACAACTTTGATTTCACACCTTCGTCCGAGTCGCGACACGACAGACGCATCTCAGCCGATTTCGATTTGGAGCAGGGTTTGCCTATCGACGAACCACTTCCACCATACGTGGAACCTCCTGAATACACCTCAAAGAACGAGGACCCCGCGACGCTTGCAAAGTATCTTTTCAAATTTGGGTTTTGTGAGTATCTCTGTCATTTCTTTGTTTCTTCAATGACTTATTCCGTGTCTTTTAGTATTCCCACCATTCTGGATTCTCGGTGCTTTAATACTCTTCACGCCTCTTCACGCACCCGAATCATCCGACCCTGCTACACCCAATGCCTGGCTTCCCGAGAAGACAGAAGCGGAGCGTGAAGCAATCATCTCCACTCTCAGGAAGGCCGAGCTGAAGTGGGCATGGAGATGTCTCTTCGCCATCCTTACCGTCAGCCTATTCGCCGTCGCCGCCGGCATCACTATCTGGGCCGTCATGAGAGCGTAATTCACTACCTCTCCCATCGTCCGGGTGGACATTCCCCAACTTCAGTCAATCGACTGCGCAACGTGGCTAGCCTGATGTAGCCATTGCAGACGCTCATTGAGGCCACCCATGCCATCCCGCTCCGACCTTTGTGTCGTATCCGATACGAGCATCCCGATTGCACTCGCAGACCACAGTGTCCGCGGCTCTCCCTAGCGGAGGCACGCCAGGACATTCATAACGATACCACGAACACCCTCGTCGTTCATTCCCATGATACCCTTCACTTCCTAGAACTGTATTCTCTAGTAAACATATCTATATTACAACCAAAATGTATATCTACCTACGTCTTTGAATGATGACAAACATGACGATAGCCAAAGTATTTTTTCTGAGCGAATCAATCCCGCTAAAGAGCTTCTCTTTGAGCAAGATTTGTATTTCGTGGTCAATGGCGGTGATGAACCTCTATCGCTGAGAGTTCTCTGTGAGTCGTGACAGACATCCTGATGATGATCCTCTTCGTTGTGAGATGGTACCTCATCCTATTGGGGCACGTCCTCGATTCTTGAGGATGGTGCCTGTACAACTGATTTGTGACCCATGTTCTATGAAAGATCTAAGTTCGCAATGCTCGGTGCCATTAGCCTATATGAGTACTAAGTAGGGTGATTGGCTAGAATGCCTCATGATCATCTTACTCATTCCAGTAACATGGGCTGTAGTATGAGCAAGGTGATCTCAACAACAAAAGCGGAAATTTACCGCAAGTCATCGTAGACGCAGACACACCGTAAATGGAAAATATTTCGCTCGGAGGAATTGGGTGCGGATATGGCGTATATCAGTCAATCGCTGGAAAGAGGTGCGATACACCAGGATTCTTCTTAGCGAAACTGCCTAATAAGGAAATTCTCCCAGTTGAAAAATGGATCATCAACAGCAAACTGAGTTATTGGTTGAAATATTGTGTGTCTCTCCATCATTCCTTCGAGCGGAATATTTTCCATTTACGGAGTGAGAGAAGGCTACCTGGACGGAAGGCAAGTGATTATCGACGATTCGAAGTCTGACGCGCGTCTGATTCTGACGCTCAGGCTAGGCCTGGGAAAATCTCACATCAAGCGCCGGGATTCCCTGAGTCATACCGACGCATCCTCCTTTCTACCACCATATACTTGCCGCAATGAATCTCTCCAGATTCCAAGACAAAAGATGAAGCACTTCGAAGTCAGGCTTTTTAACGCTCTTGCCAGCTCGTTTCCCGAGAACATACACTCCCATCGCCATTTTTGTTGGTGAACCAGTCAGCGACCAGCGGAATTGCGGTTCAATACACGAACGGAAACGTTCATTTCACCAAAGAGGGGTTTGAGAGGAATGGCTAGGCATGTAGATGGCAGGAAAATCCTAAGGGTGTTCATTCCGTGATCAAGCACGTTGAGATTGCTATTGCAGAGATTCACGCCTTCTCCAGGACTCAGGCCTCAAAACCCCTCAAAGGGTCAAGTTCGTTTAGGAGAAGTACATGCTGCAAAAAATGCGGGAGAAGATGTTTTTCGTTTGGGTGCGGGTGCCTTGTGGCCTAGGGTACCGAAAGATGTTTCCATGCGCCGTTGAGTGCTGCGTACGGGGACCTTGCTACCCAGGTATGGTCTTACTCTATTGAAATAGTAGTGATTCGTATAACATGACGCAGGGCTTTACATACGTCGCGCGACCAAGGTATTGTACTCATGCACATGAACCACAGACCTCAATTCAGCCGATTCCCTGGGACTTTCCTGCTCGTGAAATTCATCAATCTTATCAATCTCCCAAGGACCCGTCCGGGAATCGTCGGCTCCTTTACCTGGTCGTTCTTCTCTGTCACGAAAAAGAGAAAATGAAGGTTACCATCTTTACTTGCTCTTGCCTGGGCCCTGGCCCTCGTCGGAGAAGGGGTCGAAGGATGATGGTTTGGCCAAGAGGCGTTTTGGAATCATTTGCAGGAAACGAGAGTGTCTGGCGCAGTATAAGTTTGGGCTTGGTTTGGGCTGTAATCAGGCTGTAACTCGGGGCTCTGTGAGGCTAGACGCGATGTCAAGCCTCGCTATTCACACTCAGCGGTGACGGAGTCAAGCTTTGGGCGGCGGAGCGGTTCCATGTCGGTTCCATGTTCTGCTGCAGACCGAGTCAATGCCAAGATATCACAATCGACACACAACCTCTTTATTCGTGCTCAGGATGCAGTTGGTAAGATCCATATTGCTTGGAATGTCGAGAAGATGAACTTGATTATTCAGATTCGCGGTGTACTTAGAGACACCGCTCTTCAGCGCAACCTTTCGCCTATAGATGGCAACAACCTTCACGTGATGTGTTGTCGTTCTCATGGCTCGCAAGCATTGGCAGGTAGAATAGCCACCAATACTAATAGCCGGACGCTCCGTGTTCGAAGGTTGCCGCTGAGCGGTAGCGAAACTTTTAGTCGAAGGTAAAGATGACTCAACCATGGGGACCTCCAGCAATATATGAACTTGCTTCCAGAAGCAATATGGTTCTTTAACTCGCATTCAGCTCATCTACAATGACCGACTCTAACCCTATCCTCTTCTATGACATTGCTTCGGCTGCGCCTGTTCACTCTTTCGCACCCAATCCCTGGAAGACTCGGTGAGCTAAAGCGCGGCTACCAACTGTTATGCAGTTACTAATTGGTGGCTGATAGATATGCATTGAACTTCAAAGGCGTGCATTACCGAACGGAATGGGTCGAACTGCCAGAGGTTGAGTCTACGCGCAAGAAACTAGGCTCTGACCCGGTGCGATTCTTCGCTGATGGCAGCCCGTTTTATACCCTGCCTGTCATTAAGGATACATCGACCGGCGAGCTCGTCGGAGATACATTCGATATCGCAGTGTACCTTGACAAGGCATACCCCGACGCACCAAGGCTCTTTCCTCCGTCGACCATAGGCCTCCACAAGGCTTTCAATGCCCAAGTGGATGCCATTTTCAGCGCCTATACCCGCCTCTTTGTTCACGGCATTCCCTTCAACCCAGAGACCGCCGAGGAATCTAGGGCCACCTTTGTGCAGAGAGCAGGTGCATCGTGTTGGGACGACTTGAATTATCGAGGTGAAGAGAGGGTACAGAAGCTGAAGCAGTTCGAAGCAGATCTCGGAAATTTGGCAAAATATTATATTCACAAGGATGGTCCGTTCTTGGAAGGACAGAACCCATCGTACGCTGATTTGGTCGTTGGGGGCTGGTTGATGATGATGAAGGAGACGTTGAAGGAGTGGGAAGATTTGTTCGCATGGCATGACGGTATCTGGAATCGGATTCATCTGGCATTGGAAAAATATACCCAGGTGAAGTAGAGAAGTCGGAACTCAGTACTTATCCTACTTGGACCTATACCATTTGTCAATCGTGTCAATATGCATCCCTGGTGACCTCGTCGATTAGATGCGATGTGATATAGGTGACAAAAACGGTGTCTTACTGCACTCGAGCTGCGTCTTCCTAGTGGCAGTGAAAAGCGAGGTCCGTAGCATTTAGCTGCCAGTTCTAATGTCTGCGAAGGCTCTTGTCCCACTGTCATTATGGCTACTGAGCGAAAAAGAGATTACATGCCACTACGCAAAACCAAGTCTGGCATGTCGGAGATAGCAAGTTTTGTAACTTGAGTAGTATGTCAGCAGTCATGAATCATAGGTAAAAACTCTTACGCCTGGATGACCAAAAGTGCTTACTTCTGCAAAAAGTCCCCAGTATAAGTACAGCTGAATCGATCATCTACGAATCGGTCAGCTCTTGATTTCCGTCTGAGGCGGGAATTTCTTACCCAGACAATACGGATATTCCGACGGCGCTTGACTAACGCGTCCTGCTCTTCTCTCCCATATATACCCCCATCGCAATGGGCTCCCTGCGTTTGACATCCAAGGATGAAGCTCTCCGAAGCAAAGTGCAATAACGCTCTCACTGGCTCTCGGCTCTCCACAACATACACTCCAATCGCTGTCTTCGTCGGTGGGACCAGCGGAA